TGAAGGATACACTAAAATCGCCTCCACCAGAAAATCAGACCATGAAGAAGGCATCAATAAGTGCAATAGTTATCACCACTTTCTTCTATATATGCTGTAGTGGCTTCGGATATGCAGCCTTTGGGAATGACACGCCAGGGAACCTCTTGACAGGTTTCTACGAGCCGTTTTGGCTTGTTGATTTTGCTAATGCCTGCATAGTTCTGCATCTGGTTGGAGGGTATCAGGTAGTACTAAAATTCTAGTGTTTTCCTTTAGTCCTTGGTTTATGAAAGCTTCAATCTAATACGGCGAAATGCTTGTTTCCTTAGGTATACAGCCAGCCAGTGTTTGCATTTGTTGAGAAAAAATTAACTCAGAAGTTCCCAGAGAACAAATTCCTGAATAAATTCTATGCCATCAAACTCCCAGTGTTGCCAGCTTTTCAGTTGAATTTCTTTCGGTTATGTTTTCGGACATTTTATGTTATATCTACAACAGCAATAGCAATGGCATTTCCTTATTTCAATCAGGTATTAGGAATATTGGGAGCCTTGAATTTTTGGCCAATGACCATCTATTTCCCAGTGGAAATGTACATAGTGCAAAGGAAAATTGGAGCTTGGACAAAGAAATGGCTTCTTCTTGAGGGTTTCAGCATGATCTGTTTGATTGTATCTGTAGTTGGTTTGATTGGATCAATTGAGGGAATAATTAGTGCTAAATTAGCTAAAGTATAAATTTCTCTCTTTGATTCTCAAGAATCTTGCTACAAGTTGTAGAAATCAGAAAATCTTCCTATTTTGAGGTTTTTTGCTAGCAATACTAAGTTTTTAAATGACGATCAGCCAAAAGACACTACACAATTTCAGTACTTGTTGGAGTTAAGCTGTACTGACGGATTATTTCTGTCTCAATTAATCAAGAATTTTGCAGTAGGACAAATTCAGTTATTTTATACAATTCTTCCGGTCTAGTCTAATTGGTTTAGAGTATGTATCCTATTCTAAATATTTGATAAAGCAAATATTAAATATTGGTTTCGTGCTAATCAATTTTATTAGAGAGATATGTGCATATTTGTTAACAAGGTAAATAGGCTGAAATTCTTACTAACGATAATAATTCGATGTAAGAGACGTTATTAAATAAGGTGAAAAATAGAGTTTTTGGCCAATATTGTCCCTTATGTTTGAGAGTAAGTCTATTTTGGTCCCTCAAATATAACCCTAAACATATTTAGACCCTTAAGTATGCTAAAGTGGAGCACTTTTAGTCTCACTAACATAATTTCTCCAAGATCAATTACGGGGTTGGTTTCAGCACTCACCGTCTTTTTAATTTACTTATCGAAAATATTTTATAAACCAACACCCACTAATAGTACAAAACTGATCAATTTAAGATTCTAACGTTGAAACTTTTACTTTTAACAATTTCGGTTGATTTTTTCAGAAAGAAAAGTTAAAATTTGAAGACGAAAAAAATAGAGCTGCCAAGATCACTTCTAGGCATATTATTGAAGCAAATAAATAATCAGATTGTATTATCACTTTTAGCCTGCACCAGAAACTATTTACATCAAATAGCCGAAAAAGTATATAAAATTTGTATAATTATTGTATATTAACATACAAAATGTATATATATACAAAATAATATACAAATTTTACACATTTTTCTACTATTATTTTTACAACGGTTATACAGTGTCATTTTCTCATTGAAAACTGGCACAGAAGGGGGTATTTTCAATGTCAAAATTTTAGAAGACATTATCTAAAAATGAGGAGTTAAAGCGATAATTTGCGTCATCCAATAAAATGAGAGGAAACGTTTTGCTTCAGAGTAGAAGTTTGCTTCATGAATCAGAGTTGGTTAACACTATTAGTTTTTTAACACATTCTGTCAGTTAAACTAAAGGTGCTCAACTTTAGCATACTTAAGGGGCTAAATATGCTCACATTTGAGGGACCAAAATAGACCTAACCTCAAAGATAAAGGACAATATTGATTAAAAACTCGGTAAATGGCTCTCTTTATTTTCTCTTTATCCACCAAAAATTAAATGGCTCCAAATAATAACATAGATGTAATAAATTTGCCCAAGTGTTTTCTTCTCTCCTCTCATTTTTGGGATTTTTTAAAAACCTATGACTAAATTTCCAGTGTGTTTTTTCTTCTCTCCTCTCATTTTTGCAATTTTTTAACAATTTACGACCAAATTTCTTATGTATCTTTTTTTAAAATTATCTAAAGCGCAAAATGATAATAATAGTAATAGTGAAAGAATCAATCAATTTTTGTGATAGCAATAACAATAATAATAAAAATAACATACTATTAATCTATTATTGGAGCAAATTACTATCACTGCCCTTCATTACCAATTACCTTCAACATATACTCTTTGATTGGTTAACCACTCCAACCTCCCAATTAAGAAGAGGTTTTCCAATTTTAATACTTTATATGTTAATCTGTAATTAATTACTCACGAGTCACGGGCTTGAATCTCTCATTTTGTTGTTTATTTATCCAAAAAAAAAAAAAAAAAAAAAAAAAAAAAACATCGTGCAATTTGAAGTGCTGTACTGAAAGATACTGCTTGAAAGATTGCGGGTAAAAGAAGCCAAACACCAAGTAGTTGATTGTCAGAATATTCAAAGATGTTGAAAGGCACCTATCGCCAAATATCTAAAAGAATCATAATGGAACATCTGGCTTCAAAAGTTGTAGCCTTTCCTTTTCAATTTATAAAATATCTTAAAATTGAAATGTGAACCACCAAAGATTATGGTCTTTCGGCTATATTTTATTTGTTAATACTATATATAAAGACCGCTGAATGCATATACTCCAAATTTGAAGTTCAAAGAACTTTTGAAAACCTTCTTGATGGAAAAAAAATGGAATGAAGGATCCCACTGAATTAAATTGGATCCATGAATCTAAGAAATGACGACCATTCTTGATCTCTCTCATTGTGTCTCTCAATTCGAAAATCTAGGAGTTAGAATTGATGTCCTCTCATTAATTCCTCCTAAAACCATCCTTTATTAGTCATAGATCTAACTTTGAGCTAAAAGAATAAAGTCGCTTTTAGTAGCAAACTTTTATCTCATAATGGAACTTTGTACGAATCCACATTAATCGAGCCTCAAAGCGGGTACTGGACTCCGAATGCAATGGAAAACTCCAAAAAATGTGAAATTATTTTAAAAAATGGACATATGTCAATTTCTTTGAAATACTAAAAATATCATATTAACGAAAAAGGTCCTGATATACCCCTCTACTATTAGAAATGTCTAGTAATAGCACCCGCGCAATGCGCGGTTAATATTAAAAAATATTAATTAAATTAAATTGTGATCGGACTTGTTTAAACATATTAGATCGTTTAAAAGTATCCTCCGTTATACTATTAGATCAAAAGAACTCCTATCGTCTTATTATTCAAATACATATATCCCTAACTTGACGGACAGGACACTTGGCACACATCCAAAGTTATTGGTCCATTTGATCTTAGATTAGACTCTACTTACCCCATTACCCGGGGTACACAATCCTTTTAATTTGACCAGCCAAATACAGATAAATAATTAAGTTTGATGCACCATTGTTGAAAAATACAAATTGCTCATTAGATTAAATGCTACAATTAACTCTCACAAACAGTGAGTCAAATAAACACAACAATTACCACCAAAATCCAACATTACAATTTCAAGAACAAAGACTCAATTTTTATACTTCTTTTTGAATCATAGATGGCAAAATACCTTAAAACTCACCTAAACTTGGCACGCATTATTGGTTACATCCTTGAACTATCTATAGTCTTAATTACTCCCCTATACTTGGTTATTCGATAGCTGTTACCCCCTTGGACGATCTCATCCCAGGAAAGTGGCATGCACTCGCTTACCACATGGATTTTTTCTGTCTAAGTGGCATTTATTTGAAAAATAAAATATATTTTTACCTTTTTAAGTATGTTACTTTTTTAGATAATTTTTTCGAATAAAATTTATAATAAAACTTGGATAGAACTACATTATTTAGACTAATTCTTTTTATTTGGCTAAAAATAATAAAGTTTTAGTTATTCTTTTTTTGAATTTGACCTTAAAATAAAGATTTATACAATTGAAATAAATAGTCAAGGCATCTAAAAAGTTATAAAGATATACATAGTTCGAAATTTATTATTTAGCCTATATTTTTTATATAGCTCTAAATTATGGTGCTCTAAAAATATTATTTTTTTTTACAAATTTTACCTGAAAAAGTGAAAATACACAGTTGAAATAAATAGTCATTGCATCAAAAGAAGAAATAAAAAGATCGTACAATTGCAAGTTCATTATTTGGCTATACCTTTTTATTTGGTAAAAAACAATGGAGCTATGACCAATTTTTTTTATTGGTTTGACTCGAAAATAAAAATACACAATTAAAATAAATAGACATTATATATAAAGAAAAAAGACAGGAAATATACACCGCTGGTAATCCATTATTTTTGCTAAAAAAATTTATTTGGCTAAAATGATGGAGTTTCTACCAGACGTTTTACAAATTCGGCCAAAAATAAAAAAAATAAAAAAAAAGAAATATGCAGTTGGAAAAAATAGACATTATATCTTAGAAGAAATTAAATATAATAAAAGTTAGAATAAAGTCCACATTTAAAATGAAGTAAGAAGAAATAACTAGTTGTAACAAATAAATCATTATATATGACTTTATGACAATTAAAAATTAAAAAATAACTTATTTAGAAGCTGATCTTTCATTTTTTTTCTCTACTCTCATGCGTTTAAAAGAGAGTGTATCCACACTCTTTGCCACACCAGTGTCCACGAGAGTAATGTCTCTCAAAAAGCTAAATCGAGGGGTAATTAAGACTAGGAATAATTTAGGGTTGTAACTAATAATCCGTGCCACTGCCAATCATAGATTGAGTTAAGATGTTAAACCATTAAAATACAAACAAATGGACAGAAGCAGCTTCTTAAAAATCATACTAGCCGAATAGTCTACTACTTCTGGGTGACTTTCTTGCACAATCTCTCCTTTGAAGGTAGGAATTGTCATAATTTGTGACAACCCAGTTGTAGGTATTAAAGTTGCTTCATCTTATTCAAGCCCCTTCAGAAAAAATTTCAATTTCTTTTTTACTACAGAAAAAGGGTTGAAAAAATTTCTTTCTTTGCATTCCAGTGAATGAAGCCCAACTCGAGAATTGGGTCGAGAAGGACAGAAGGATTTGGAAGAAGAAGAAGAATGTTAGTAGAATGTGAATAAAATTGGGTAAAAAAAATCAGAGAGACCCATTTTGTCTTCTTCAAATTTCTCAAAATGGTGTTTTCTAGTTTCTTCAGCAAATCAATATTTCAGTGTTGTACTCACAATTATAGACTCAAATCAATAACAATTTCACCAAAAAAATTTACTTCTTTTTTAGATCTAGATTCAAACCCAAAGCTTCAATATGGTGGGTTTTAGTCTTTTACCATCAACTTCTTCCAACAAACAGTATTATAATTTAGATCTACGCACAACAAACAATACAAAATCAGATTTCAATAATGTAAACTCCAAATTAGTCATTGGACTAAAGGACCCATTCGAACCCAGACTTGGAAATGAGCTTCCAAACTCGTCAATAGAAGTGCAACTTTCCAATTCTTCAAATCAAGACACTGGAGTACCATTTCAAAAGGGTTGAAGCTTTATTCCATTAGCTTCAATCGATTTCAACACAAAATGCATTAGATTTCTTTTTTAATGAATGAGAGCAATGCTTATCTGAGATTGAGTTCAAGACCTCAATCTCTTATGAGTACCGGGTTATAGGGCAGGTTGGATCTAATTTAAGACCAAATGGACCAACAGCCTTGGATGCATACCAAATGTCAGTTAGGGGTATAGTGTTTGAATAGTACGACAGTCGGAGTTCTTTTGATACAATAGTAGTATAACAAAGGGTAATTTTAAACAATTTCTAATATATCAGGACATTTTCCGTATTTTTAAACAAATTTGCACAGAGAGAGTAATAAATTTCCATGAAACTTTGAATAACAGAAATAGTCATATTACGCAGTTCAGGCTATGCCTTTGGTAGTTGATGAAGACGCTGACTCTCATATGCCTTTTCTGGAGGCAAATTCTTCTTCTTCTTCTTCTTCTTCTTCTTCCTCCTCCTCCCCATCATCTTCAACTTCCCTCAAAAGAACAGGTACTATGTTTACTTCTTCCAATCTTTTCTTCAATTATTACATTATTGGTCTTTCTACCACAGCTATACGGTCAACTTTTAGCAGCTATCTTTTCTTGTCATATACTTCACTTTTTTCTTCTCTTCTTCAACCCCATTTATCCCCACTTTACCATTTAGGCTTCAGTTTTAAAAAGAGTTTGAGTCTTGCTTGATTGTAACAACTTGGGTTCATAGTCAAACATCGTCAAGAATCTTGCTTTAACTTGTCCTCTGCATTTAGTGCTGTCTTATTGAAGGAGATTTTGACTTAAAAGGTATAATCTTGATCTTTATAAATAAATAAAAAAAGAACAAATGGGGAAATGATTTACTGTTGGAGCAAGAGTTGACCATTTGTGAAATAGATTCATTTCTAGTAATTTCTTGTGGAAAAAACAGAAACCTGTACAGGTAGTTGATTAGGGAAACTAATGTGTGTGCGAATTCAGGAAATGAATGGACAGCTTTGGCACATATAGTAACAGCAGTAATAGGTTCTGGGGTTCTATCATTAGCATGGAGTATGGCACAGCTAGGTTGGATTGCAGGTCCATTGACCATGCTCTCTTTTGCATGTGTCACTCTTACTTCTGCATTTCTTCTCTGCAACTGCTATCTATCTCCTGATTCAGATACTGGCCCTGATAATAGAAATGCATCTTACCTTGATGCTGTTCTCAATATTTTAGGTAAGAAATTTCAAGTGCACCTTTTGAGCAGCAATTCACTTCTTACCAAAAGGGCTAATTCTTTTCTTCTGGCATCTCAGGAGAAAGAAATGCGTGGTTTTGTGGAATCATTGCTCGTATAAACTTCATAAAGGTTGCAATAGTTTATACAATTACATCCGCTATCAGCATTCGGTATGTCAGTAATCTTTTCTCCACTGGTATTGTCAATGTCTCCTTTCAACAATTTCTGCTCATACCTTTCCTTTATAAGTTTTGCTGCTTATCATACTGAACTTCTGTTTGGTTTGTCCATGACCCCAAGGTTGCATTTCAATACTATAAAAAGGCAAAATACATAAGTACCCACCTAACCTATGGCCCAAATCCCCCTTACACACTTTCTGTAGACGATAATAATATTACACATGCAACCTTTCTAAAGTGTAGCTAATACACACTACGTTTGCCAGATGGCACGCGCGTGTTTAACAAAAAAAATGAGCGCGTCAAACCAATGCATTATCTGTCCAAGTCCTTATATAAGCACACATGTCTAAATCTTATTTGTCCACTTATTTTTGTTAATTTAATAATTAAATGAAAAGAAAATGATATCCAAGCCCTTCTTCCCCATTTGGAGCCCTCCCCGGAAGCCGGCGACAACCGCAGCCTCCTCATCTCCTCCCTCTTGCATCTCCTTTAAGAAGATGTCAGCCATAACTCGTAATACCGGCAACAAACTCAAGCAACAAGCGAGAACTCCATTGTCAGGTCATTAGTTTCACTGTCAGTTCATGATCGATGAGCTCAGATCTTCTCCGCGTGGGTGGAGCTATCAGATCTTTCGGCAAGCTGGTGTTCTTCGTTCAAATCTGATCTCGCNCTTTTTTTTCTTGAGTTAGGACACGTGTCACGACCTTATTGGCGCGTGACCTCACACATATTTTCAAAAGCTGGTCAAGAAAAAAGTAGTGTGTACTAGCTACACTTTAGAAAGGTTGCATGTGTAATATTATTATCGTCCACAGAAAGTGTGTAAGGGGGATTTGGGCCATAGATTAGGTGGGTACTTATGTATTTTGCCCTATAAAAATTAATATTTTGATGGTTGCTTACTGAAATAACTTGGACTATTGCTGTTGAATAATCCTATCAGCAGATATGAACTCCTGGCCATCAATATATAATGAATTATGGACCCATAGCAACTGTAATGACCTCTCAGTTTATGATAGTTCATCATCCCGATAAATGGTGGTGTTAATAGCTACATGTTCTAGTAATTACTGAACAAGAAGTGTTTCTGCAACTCTGGCTGAGTAGTGAGTATTCATCATCATAACTGAATTCATCCAAAACTCTTTTTCTCTGATATCCATCTCCCAGCCAAATTCAAGTGCTAGACCTCCTATTTTATCTTCTCTAAACTACTGAGGTTTTCATTTCAAACTATCTTGAGATGCCCTTAAGCCTTAACAACTCTAAGATAAACTAGTTGGGGAATCTTAAGGGTTCAAGAATTAGCTAGTAATACATTGTAAACCTTCGAAATCTTGTTATAAGCAGAGATATGTACTCAAATCATCATTCCAATCAGATAATTAGAGAGATAAGGAAGCTATATGTAATAATTAGTGAAATTAGGAATTATATCCCATTATCAAGGGATAGAAGTTCCATAACAAATGGGATCAGGAATCCTTGTATACATTACATAGTATAAATATAAAAGAGTTGATATTGCCATCATGCATTCTCAAACTTAAACTTGTTATCTTTCTTGGTGGGAGATCTGGATTGAGGAAGTCATAATATTCATTGGATTAAGGAAATGTGTCCCTAAATGATATTAGGAGTCATGTAATCAAAGAAATAAGGAATCATTATAGATAAGGCTATGCTGCATAGTATAAATATACAAGGACTGGGATGTATTGCTCTCACGCATTCTGAAAACTCTCTCGCTTATTCTCAATGCTTTAACACCTATAGAAGTGCATTAGGAAGGATTTCTGTAATGGGTGATATTAATACCGAATTCTCTGAATGTCTGCAGAGCAATCCAGAAATCAAACTGCTATCATGATCAAGGGCATGAGGCTACCTGTCGATATGGAAGTACAAGATATATGGTTATATTTGGACTAATCCAAGTTATAGTGTCTCAAATTCCTGATTTTCAGAATATGAAGTGGCTCTCCATAGTTGCTGCAGTCATGTCATTCACATATTCAATTATCGGATCAGCACTTGGCTTAGCCAAAGTAATAGGTAGGTTACCTTTCACATGTCATTTAATACCACAAATGCTTCAGATCAACAAGCATGGTATGACTAGGATCTCAGGCAACATTAGCAGAGAGAAAATCTCTAATAAATATTTATTAGATTTCCACTTGCCAAATCTTGATGTGCAGAAAATGGAGAAATCAAAGGTAGCATTACAGGACTGCCAAGTTCTACTGCTGCTGAGAAACTATGGTTGGTAGCTCAAGCACTTGGTGACATTGCCTTTGCCTTTCCATTCTCTCTTATATTTCTGGAGATACAGGTGCTGCAATTTGCTTTCTACATTAAGTAATAAATTATGTTCTTAAACGGGATAAAGCAACACTGAAGCAATTAATTAAAACATCCAAAAATATGAAGGACACGTTAAAGGCGCCTCCTCCAGAAAAGATCACTATGAAGAAGGTATCAATAATGGCAGTCTGTATTACGACGTTTTTCAACCTTTGCTGTGGGGGATTTGGTTATGCAGCCTTTGGTAATTCCACACCGGGAAACCTCTTGACAGGATTCGGTTTCTATGAACCATATTGGCTAGTAGATTTTGCTAATGCATGTGTTGTTCTTCATCTTGTTGGAGGATATCAGGTACCCTTTCCCTAAATCTTCTTTCAAGTCTAACAATGTTTCCCCATATTCTCTTAGACAACTTTTGTGCTTTTGCAGTTTTTTTAAGCAGTAGATCGTTCTGGTAGTTCGATTTCTGTTTTAAGTTCTTTGTAAATAGAGTTATGCAAACTCCACTAGTTGAGTTTTTGGAAGAAAAAGTATTTTTAAACCTGTTTTTGAAAAAACAAAGTTGTATCTCTTTTTAAGGATTTCTCAACTCAGTTATGCCAGCTTGGCTTTCAGCTTTTGAAAAGCTTCCAACAAACATTATTGACTTCCTCGGACTCGGAGTTGATCTTTTATATTCACTTGAATATGCTTTACAGATTTTCAGCCAGCCGCTATTTGCAGATATTGAGAGATGGTTTGCCAGGAAATTCCCAGAGAGCAAGTTTATTCACAAGAATCACACCCTGAAACCATTACCAATGCTGCCATTTGNCGTTCCCATCTTTAGTCAAGTTGAAGTTAAACCATGAAGAACATCAAATCTCCCAAAAAAATACTTAAAAAAATCTACAATAGGTGATATCCCCTCTTTCGATTTGGATGTTTTAACACCAAAATCACCACAAAAACAAGTAAAATCTACACATGCAATGGAACCCACTACTCACAATTCATCTCCTAGACAAATTCGTGTCGAGATGAGAACAAAGCAAATGCACGATGTAGACGCTGGAGGAAGTGCTACACCAGGCGGCAAACAACTCAAAAGAAAGGGGAAAGAGGTATGTGTAGATAACGACTTTGTTGAAGATGTCCCTAAAATTCCAACAGTTAAAAAACCCAAGTTGTCTCCTGCTTCCTCAAAACAAAAAATGAAGAAACAGTCCAAAAAACTCCCAAAATTGGTTCAGAAATTTTTTTTGGGGAAGGTAAACATTTATTATTTTCGTTTCCAGTTTTTTAGTTTTGTTTTGGATGTAAAAATCTCTGTTTTAAGTGTTTTGGTAAATTGTAGATTAGTTGTCTTAATTTTGTAGATTATTTGTAGTTGTGATTTTCTACAGTTTATAATTGTAGTTATTTTGTAGTCGTTTTGTAGTTATATTGTCGTTAGCTTTTAAATTTTGAAACAGAGCTGTAGTTACTTTTTAAAATTGTGTAGTTATATGTAGATAACATGTAGATTAATGCTTCATTTTTATGCAGTTTGCTAATGTGAAATAATTTATCATTTTGTGCAGAATGGACATTATTTTGCCCCACATAATGTGGATTATGGGGTGCTTAGATTCCACACTTTGTGTGATCCTAGCATTCCTAGCCAGATAGAGTTATTGTCTCCAAATGCTTTAAAGCTTTTTAAAAATACATGTTTTGGTTACTTAGTGTCTCTCCCCTCCATTTACATGCAAAACCAAGCTATTCATCTTCTGATGAAGTATGAACTGTCTAAGTATAATGAATCATTTTTTTCAGTCCACTTAAAGGGGAAAAAATTGAATTTTTCATTGAGAGAGTTTGGTTTAATTACCGGTTTAAATTGTGTGAATCAGTTTACAGATTATGGATATACTTCTAGTTATGTTAGCAAAATAATGAATAGCTATTTTCCTAATAAAAAAAGAGTAGAGAAGTGGTATTTGAAAAACATAGTAACAAATAGATCTTGGGTAAACGATGAGGATGCAGTCAAGTTGTGCATTCTTTATCTTTTGGAATTTTTTGTTTGCCCTTATGACAAAGACCATGTGTCTTTTTTAGACCACTTTAGGTTCTATTTGATAGAGTCTGGTCAGTTTGAGTCATACTCATGGGGCATTAAATCGTTCAATCAGGTTATGGAATCCGTTAGGCATCGTCTAAATCTCTGTGTACATTCTTATCCCATACGGGGATGCTCATTAGCTTTGCAAGTGTGGCTTTATGAGTGTTGTTCGACCGTCAGCACGGAGCTTGCTACGAGGTGTTCTGACTCAATACCTCGCATATTAAGATGGTCAGCTACTAAGGGGCAGATTTGGTTAACTGCCTTTGAAGAGAAGATGATCAAGCCTGAGTGGATTAAGGTATTTTTTTTAGTTTTATATGTTGCTACATTTACCTTCATAATATCTACAATTAGTCTACATTTTCTTCCTTAGTGGAACTAACTGTTTTTTTTCATCATTCAGTTCACAAGCATGACTGAATCTAGAGAAGAGATTGGAGTGCTTACTCTGCCAAACAAGATTGAGTATGAAGATGAACAAGGTGCACAATCATCAGAGGTTCCAAATGCTGATTCTCCAACATTGGAACCCAAACATACAGATTGTCAAGAGGACAAGGAATCTGTGGCTAAGAAGCTCAGGAAGCTAGAAAAGGGAATTGAGCAGGTAATATTATTAACTACAATATTTACATTTTTGCTATAATTTATCAATATTTCATAACAATTTATGTAGTATACATTGTAGTTAAATTGTAGTATAATTCTATAGTCAGCCCTGTTGGGATTACACACATTGTAGTTAAATTGTAGTATAACTGTAGCAATTTGTAGACAATTGTGAAAACAATACTGCCTCGTACATAATTAAACTGATTTGTAATTTATTTGAATAAAATTACCAACTAACTATATTTTTAACTTTTAGGTTGATGGAAAGTTAGAGGATTTTAGGAAGGCTGTATTTGAGGAACTCCATGACCTTCGAGTGTTTATAGATGATTCTGTGAAGAGTGTTTTGAATTTGATAAACAGGAGATATGATGTGGATGAGGCAAAGGTAAGAGTTGACATATATTTATATACCAAAACAAATTATGACATATGAAACAATATACTCAAACTAACATAAAATCTTTAGTTTGCTGGTAGTTCAACCAAAAACAATGACCAACAACAAGGAGTGAACAACCAGCAATTTCAGTTCAATATTAGCGATCAAGTGCATGCAAGGACAAGCAACACAGGTATCTACAAAATACCTATAAATATATACAGTTAGTATAAAACTTTATAGAGCATAGTTATATTATTCACATTTTATCTACAACTTCTTACATATATCTACAACTTTCAAGGCAACATTATCTAGTATTATTTACCTTTTTTTAATTATAAATTGAAGCTGCAGTCTGTCCAGAACATGTTCTAGCACATGTTGACTTATATTCAGAATTTCAAGAAGCAGCTGAGGTAGAACAAGCAGGTATAATATCATACTGTCATTCAGAATAAATAATTGTTATTTATACAATTTTACATTCCTGTTAAGTAAGTTATGTTTTATGTAACAGATTTTAAAGATATCAATGCACAGTCCCCAATTCACGAAGTGACTGTAGTAGCTCAGACAGAACAAGTCATTGAGAAACAGCTAAATGAAGGTGAAGATGCACAACATGTGGATGAAGTTGTTTCTGAAGGATCAGGCATTGATAAGAAGGGTGTGACATTGGATGACTTTGAGTTGCCAGACAACTTAACACAATTGGTTAAGTATGGCGAACCCATACCAGATGAAGCAACCCCTATTCATCCGGGGAGAATCAGGCAACCGGGCAAACATGCACGATCACCTTTCATACCTCTATATAGTTCTGGAGGCAGCAGCTCTATTGGACCTAAATTTTTCTACCTCAAGCACCCCTTCACAACTCTTATAGGTGAAAATGTAGATTCTGATGTGTTAGATAAGTTCAACAAGTGGTTATACCACCGTAGTGACAAAGTATCTAAGAGGTATGAATGCTTAATTTGACACTTTCATTTCAGCATTTTAAAGTTTAAATATGTAATTCATTCTGTGATTTTTTTGATTGGACATTTATTTGTTGTTACAGGAGGAAGGCTCCCTTTTCCATAAAGGATAACCAAATCAAGCCTTGGTTAGACCTTGGAGTTGAAAAGGTGGATAAGAAGCACTGGTTTTATTCCCTTGCTCACCTTGGACAAGTCCTCAATGACTCGGTAAATATCAAAGAATAAATTCACAAGATATATTTTGTCTTCTGTTTTGTAGTATAATTGTAGTTATATTGTAGATATGAAATATATGTGACCATGCCTTTTATTATAAATTGTAGATATAATGTAGACATTTCTTATAAATGTTGCTCTTATTATTTATAGTGTGATTGTATTTAGGTTGGACCTTATGTATCATATTTGATGATGAATTGTATGTAAAAATTGTATATTTGGTAATTTGGACAGAATTGGTATATCTGTATTTCATGATTGTAGTTAATTTGTAGTTAAATTGTAGAGCAAGTTGAAGACTTATAATATTAATTGTAGTTTGAATTTAGATATTATTGAGACCTTATGGTAGTTGTTGTGTTCCATTTGTTGCTGTGTATAACAGCTAAAGTGTAGTTATTTGTTAGATTATTTGAATTCTGGCTTTGTAATTTAAAGTGTAGCTGCTTTGTTGATAATTGTAGTTACACTGTAGCTTATAGTAGATTTTATTTTATTTTGCAGCACATTGATGTTATTATGTATTACCTGAGAAAAAGAGGCAAATATGGCCCCAACAACAACAACACTAGGTTTACAACAACCGATTGCTTGTTCAAGTCAAAGATTGAACAAATCTATGAGAAGTTCATAAGTTCTCCGCCAGAAAAAAATTACTCGGTTGTTAAACCCGATGATGATGTTGCAGAATATATTATTGGGTATAGACTTCTTGCTAATGTTGCCTGGGATGAAGTTGACTATGTCATCATGCCCGTGAACATTGTAGAGAATTTCCATTGGTTATTGGTCGTTTTCGGCATAGCGGACAGACAACTTTATGTGTATGATTCCATGGTGTCTTCACACCATCATAATGCTATTGAATCATGTGTTGATAAGCTTTCAATCATTATCCCTCTATATTTGTCTTGCACTGATTTCTACGGGAAGCGTAAAGATATTGACTTCAAGACCACAAAGACATACATTGAGAAACCAGTTATAGACCCTCTCAACATACAGTGAATGGTTGCGGAGATTCCACAGCAAAAGGAAGGATCACTGTAAAACAACTATTCTCTCTTTCTAGATGTTTAATTATTATTTTTTATAATCATTTGTTAAATAATTAAAAAAAATTGTCTTATGCAGCGATTGTGGTGTATTTGTGACTGCTTTTGCGGAATATGTTAGCCTTGGAGATTTGTCAATCCCTTCAGAAGACCTTTCGGATATCGACCAACACCGTAGACGCTATGGAGCTCTCCTATGGGACTATGCTACAAAGAAGCAAGAAGATGGGTCAATCAGTGAAAGTGAGGTTACAGGCAGGCTAGCAAGGAGGAATGGTGCTCCTACTTTGAATGAGAAGACTAGAGTCCAGAGAAAGAAGAAATAGTGTCCTGTTTTCCCAGTTTAGTTGATGCCAATTTGTAGTGGAAGGAGAATACACTACTTTATGAACAAAATTTTATTTTTTTATTGCAACATACCTTTTTGTTTTGTTATTTTATATTTCATTATTAGTTGTTCACTTGAATATAAATTGGTTGTTTACAGCACTGTATCTTCATTATATTA